TCTGGAAAGATGGAGAAATGATTGAAGGCACTGTTAAGAACGGGACCTTTACATCTAAACGAATGCGGACGCGCATGGCGCCTTATGATCAACTAGAAAAAGTTTTTTCTGTGGTTTAAGCGTGCACGGAGTTGCAATTTGCCCATTTGCGAACCGATTCTCGAGCAGAAAGCTCGAGAGATTGCCATGCAAATGAACTTTGTCCTAAGGGACGGATGGCCCAGCCGCTTAAAAACACGCCATGGCCTTGTCTTCAAAGCAATCTCAGGTGAGATTGGTGCAGTCAACGGGGACATTTGTGCAGACTGACAACAGAGGCGGCTTAAGGAAGTTTTGATGAGCTTTGAGCTACGAGACGTCTTCACCGTCGAAGAGATAGATCTTTTTTATAAGGCGCTTCTATCAAAGACTATCGCCTTCAAAGGCGAAGCCTGTAGGAAAACGCAGTAAAGATCGCAACACTGTGCTGGTGGGTGCAAACATGGCAGGAGATGAGCAATCGAAGCTGTTGATAATAGGAAAATCAAGCCACCCACGTTGTTTCAAAGGCGTTCAACACCTTCTCGTTGCGTACCATGGGAACAGAAGAGCGTGGATGACCACGGCCATTTTCGGAAACTGGCTTCGGGAGGAAGACGAAAGATTTACGAGGCAAGGCAGGAAGGTTGTTTTCATCGTGGATAATTGCTCGGCCTACGGTCAGGTTCAAGGACTCCAAGCCATCACTCTAGAGTTCTTGCCAGCCAATGCAACTACAGTGATCCAGCCTACTACAAATCCAGGATCAAGAGGTTATTCAGAACAATAAAGTTCATTACCGCAGACAATCGCTCCATCATATGCTGCTTAGAGCAGGCAGCGGGAAATTCTACAGCATAGATTTATTGGCAGCCATCCACATTTTGGCTTGTGCCTGAGAGCAAGTGAAGGCAACAATACACAGATGCTTTCACTATGCTGGCTTTCGAGCAAAAAAAAAAAAAAAAAGCAGTACCTGATGAAGAAGAAAGCCCTGCTGATGCCGACATTGAGACAGTATTCAGTCAGGTTGTGCCCTTTGCCCTTTTTACGCTACAGGACTACGAATCAATTGATGAAAATGTTGGTACCTGTCGTCAAGAGAATTCCGAGGAAATGATTGCCGAAGTGCAAGATGAGGATCAATCTTTCAGCGATGAATGTGATGATACCGCCAGTGTAGTGGTGCCACCAGACCGATCAGCTAAAGAGGCTTTTGAACTTTTGCAGTGCTATTTTGAGCATGAGGCTTGTCCAGAATTTCTAGATAGTTTGTGAGGCATAGGTGCGTACGTTGTGAAAAAACAACTCAAGCTCATACCTGCCAGGTCTCCCGATTTGCGCGGGAGACTCCCGAATTTCGACCGCTTTGTACGATTGTACGACCGAGATAGAAATCTCCCGGAAGTGCCCGCGCGTTTGTCTCAAAGCGGGCTCTAGTTTGGCAACCTAGCGCGAATGCACACGCGCGAAGTGCCGATTGTCATCGCCATCGTTGAAAAGCTCGAATGTGCCTAGTCGACCAAGCAGAGTCGTCGCAAAAGGGAGCGAGCCTGCCAGTACTTCTCCGATTATGTGAATGCAGCGCCGCCGCTCTGCGAGCTATGAGGCGCACGGCAGGTGTTGTGACACTAGCGTTGGATTCTGCTGTATTTTCCACGCTGATGTTGCTGAGTGATAGGACTGACACCGCTGGCACACCTACTTGCCGTTCTTTCTCTGAGCATTGGTTGTGTAGCGCTGTGTAGCGTTGCCGTCTGCCATGGCGCTCGGCAAAGAGCGAAAAAAATATCTTCAGGTGTTTTTGAAGCAGTATACGACAGAGTTCGGCTGCGTTATCGCCTCGCGGAAAGGTGAGCACCATGCGTTTTGCACCATCTGTAAGTGCGACATCAGTATATCCCAAGGCGGCAGGACTGCCGTGGTTGCGCATGTTTCGTCGAAGAAGCACACCAACAACGTTCAGTGCCAGGAGAAACAGCATCTAATGCAACAATTTTTTGGTAAGCAAGACGGCGACAATGATGTGATACGTGCGGAATGTTTGTTTACCGCTTTTCTGCTTGAGCACAGCATTCCGTTGAGTGTCTCCGACCACGTCGGACCCTTGCTGCGGAAGATGTTTCCAAAATGCGATGTTGCGAAGCGCTACGGCTGCGCTAGAAGACTACAATGATTGTCGGCAAAATGGCAGGCCATGCACAAGAGTGTTTGGTGAGTGGCTTGAAAAGATGAGTTTTTGCGGTTGCCACTGATGGCTCGAACGACAGCCAGGCACAGCTGTACCCCATCGTGGCCACTTTCTTTGCGGAACAATCGGGCCTTATCGAGAGCAAACTGCTTACTTTAAGCACCCTGGAAGGCCCTTCAACGGGGCGCAACATCAACAAGTTAATTATGGACAGTTTTGCATCATTGAATGTGCCATTGTCTAATTGCATAGCCTTTTGCTATGACAATGCCAACGTGATGATGGGCAATAAGAATGCCGTAGCAGCAACGCTAACCGAGGCCCATGAAAGCATTGTGAAAATTGGATGCCCATGCCATTTAATAAACATTGCGGCTGAAAAGGCAGCTTCTTGTCTCCCAGCGAAGGTGGACGAAGTCCTTGTGGGCATTTTTTATTATTAAGAAAGAAGTGCTAAAAGAAAGTTCGCTTAAAGAGTTTCACCAACTGCACAATAAGGAGTTTCGCAAGATTCTAAAGCACTATCCAACCAGATGACTTTTGCTGGGAAAATGCCCGAAAAGGCTCCTATATCAGTGGGCACCGCTCTTGAGTTTTTTCCTTCAAGAAGTGAAAAGAGATGCCACTACAGGGTCCCAATTTCTGACCTACTACGACATTTCCAAAATGCCAGCACAAACTGACGACACTGAGCAGCACCAGCTCAGACAGAAGAGAAAGAAGTCTGTTGAATCAACACCTGCGCCTGTGAAAAATGTTAAGGCTACTGATGTGTGCAAGACTGGATCAACTTCCATAACACGTGAGGAACGACTGTTTGTGTTCTTGAGCTCGGAGCTTAGCATAGCTTGCTGTCTGTTTTTAAATAACATTATTCCTGCTTTTGAGACAGTCAACTGCCGCCTGCAAGCACAGGCACCCCTAATACACAAGCTACAGCCTATACTTCTAAACCTTCTTGAGGACATCCTTCCAAGGTTTGTGAGGCCAGCACTGCTAAAGCAGCACAATGACATCTGTTTGATAGACTACCACAGCAGAAATGTTCAAAAGGATGACCAAGATTTGGTAATTGGACACCAAGCTAAGTGTGTTGTTGAAAAGCTCAAGCTAAGTGACAAAAAGGAATTTTTTTGAGGCTGTTAGAAGGTACATGGTTGCTGCATGCGACTACATGCGCCTCAAATTTTCTTATAGAAATAAGGCTTTGATCAATGCACGTGTTGCGGATATTGAAGCTATGGATAACATGTCATTTAAGAATGTCCTTTTCTTTGTTGAGCGGTTTCCAGCGTTATTGCCACAAAATGAGCAAGAGACCAGAGATCAAGCTATTAGCGCACTGGAAATGGAATTTGTGAAGATGCAGTCTTTCAAAATTCCTACAAATATACTGGAAGAGGAACGGGTCGATGTGCAGTGGAGAAAAATCTCTCTGCTGAAAGGCGAACATGGATTCAGTCGCATTGCTGAAGTGATGCTGGGAATCCTTTCAGTACCGCACAGCAATGCTGAATGCAAGCGGCAGTTCAGCATTGTGAGGAAGACTCGAACAGAGTTCCGCGCTTCCATGTCAGACAAGACACTTGGGCACCTACTTCAGGCCAAATGTCATAGCCACGGACCGTGTTATTCACAGGTATATTCTGAGGAGTTTTTGAAGAGGGCCAAATCTGCCACAACAAAAATTGGGCAGTAATGTATCTGCGAGGGACACAGCTTGGACTGTTCTTTGAGTGACAGCTTGGACTAGCATGGCGCTAAGGTTAGACTGCACGTGCAGTTTCTCCGTGCAAAAAAATTCTTTTGGCAAAGTGTTGGAGTGGCAGCGGTGAACGTTGTTCCCGACAGTGCTCAAAGGACTTCTTGAAAAAGGTGGCTTCAGCCGCGTCGAAGATTTGGTAGTGGTGACTGCGGCGGGTTAGGTTGTTGGCGGTTTACAAAAACTATACCATTATTGTGCCATGATAATTCCATAAAAATTCACGTTAAAGAACCCCAGGGGGTCGAAATTTCCGGAGCCCTCCACTACGGCGTCTCTCATAATAATATGGTGGTTTTGGGACGTAAAACCCCACAAATCAACTCCATAAAAATTCAATCTTGAGAAAAAGCGTGTGAAAAATTCCATCCCCCCGTCGCGTTCTGCCTTTCATTCCATCCTTATGAAAGGCAGAACATGCTTTACTCGTGGGTAAAGTTAACGTTGCATAGGTGCCATGCATTGATTCAGTAGAAAAGTGCTTAGATACAGTATAATAGTAAAGTAGTCAAGGCATTTTATCCGCTGACAATCGGCTCGGACCGAATGCAACAAAGTGTCGCTACGTATGTTTGTATACGCACCACCGACCGCCTATCCACACTTGCGCAGTGACGGTGCTGCCACCTATAGCCCGATCTCTGTACCAGCTCTCTATACCAGTTCAGAAGTATTATAGTTTACCATGCATGTGCTTCAATTTAAAGATTTGTTTACTTGCAAAGCCTTTTTTCTTGAAGGCCTCAGGTGCTTATTTTTTATTTTTACACTGTTAAATAAGCACACAAATTTTTAAATATTAGTGGGAAAGCAGCAGATATTTTCTGGTAAGGACTTGTAAAAAGTATGAATTACCTTAATAATAGAAGTTGAATTAAGAGGGTTTCAAAAACGTTGAAAGAATAGAGGGACAACGAATTTTTCTGCCTACCCAGATGTTTTAAAATATTGGCAGTGTCAACCCCTTTAAAGTTTAATTTTGTGACAGCACTTAACTGCAGCTGCTTTTCTTTTTGCCCATGTGTATAGGTGACGCTCAACGTAAATGCCTTCATGCAGCAGTTTCATTCTGGAGTCTTCTATGCATATGTCAAGCTGAAAGAGCAGGAGTGCCGCAACATCGTCTGGATTGCAGAATGTGTTGCACAGCGCCACCGTTCAAAAATTGACAACTACATCCCAATCTTCTAGTTATTTTCAAATAGTCATGTAACCTAATTAGTTGAGTGTGGTGCATGTACCGTGCATGGCTAAACTTTTGCTGTTATATTGTTGGTAGATAACTGCAAGGTGAAATAAGTTTGTTGTCACTATATTGTAGTCAAGAGGTCTAAATCGCAATCTGAAAGCTGTTTTATGTTCTTATGTTACAGCAGCTCATCTGCAAATGTCTTCAAAGGGCCAAAATAAACCCATAGTCTTTTGTGTGCATGTATTTATTCTGGAACTTTCAGATGCTCTTATCATGTAAATAAGGCCTCTATACATATATACATATATTGTACAAACAGTATGTAATTATGTGTTCAATTGACAGTAAATGTGTAAAGTGATTATTGGATGATTATTCGAAACTTGCCTTTGAAATTGTGTGAATTTGTAGGTCAAATCCTAATTTAAAACAATGAAAGCGGTTTCATAAGAATTGGAAAAGATTTTGATTGTTGTACATCTTTCATATGCTCGAGTTAAACTGTAAAAATAAATAATTTTGATTTCGGTTGAGCTCTGTCATCCTTTTTTATATTGCGTGACTTTTGTAAACTATCCTAGTTTAAATAAAGAGGAATATTGTAAACAGTACAGAACGTAAAATTTAGTTCATAGTCTTTAGGTTTAGGGTGATAATGCACGGCCCCTTTTATTATCAATGCCCTCTGTGATACCCCAATGAGTATGACATCTTAATTCTAAGGTTATCATTGGTTGATTCTCAGTGGCCAAATTTCAGCGTGGTGAACAAAAAAAGCGCTCGTGTGCTTAGCTTTAGGTGCACATTGAGGGACCTCGTATGGTCAAAATTACAAAAGGATAGAAAGTTCGGCAGGTTTTCTTCTGTCCCGCAGGGGCGCCTGCGCAAGTACACGTTTGGTGTGTAGCGACACCACGGACCCGAGCTAACGGGGGAGTTTCTACTCCCTCCCACACCTAGCCGTGCGTGGCTTTGCCGTGTCCGGGAAAAAGGGGATCCTGGGGGTTGAGCCGACGCTGGGTGATTGGATCTTTAAGGCCCCCCCCCCCCCCCCCAGAAGAGGCAACACACCCCTTTGGCCCCGGCTTCACGTAGATGGCACCCCTGGGCTGACCCACCTAGGGGAAATCGGCAGTCGCTTTTTCCTATCTCTTTCTCCCTACATCTTCGTCTTTATCTCTCACTTTTTATCTGTCCTGTCTTCTAGTCTCTTCCGTGTACTTCCAAACTTCCTGGCGGCTAGGGTTAACCTTGTGTAGTTACCCAACCTTGGGTAGTTATATCTGGTTATAGCGGCGATGTATGACTGGCGCCTTCAAGTGTTCTACCTTGTAGCGTCCCCTTGTTGGGCTCGGTGGTTGATGGTCACCATCGCCGCTGAACATGAAATGCACCACATGGCAAAATCTTTCCCCCTTCTCAATGATCGGTCCCTGAAAAGGAACCGCACCGATGAAATCCCCAAACGAACCGGAAGCGATTGTGACCACTTCCCACGATTTCTAGTCATACACTCTCTGGCAGATAACGTCTCTGTTGCAGGACTGTCGGTTTTCCTGATAGCAAAAACCCTTGCTAATCTAATAGGCAAAAAGTACGACGTAAAGAAACTGTCATCCGGTGATCTTCTTGTTGAAGTAAGCCAGAAACAGCATGCAAACACTCTCCTTAAACGGAAGCAGTTCGCCCACCTGGACGTATCTATCACCCCCCATCGCAGTCTTAACACTGTTCAAGGCGTCATTTCACAACGTGATCTGATGCGAGAAACTGAAGCTGACCTCCTTGAAGGCTTTCTAGAGCAAAGCGTAGTCGCCATCCGTCGGATAACCATCAGGCGAAACAATGAAGAAGTGGTGACGCCTCATATAGTACTAACATTTAACCGCTCCATCCTGCCAGATTCCGTGAAAGCTGCGTTTCTTCACTGCAAAGTCCGCCCCTACATACCCAATTCTAGAAGGTGCTACAAATGCCAGAAATATGGACATGTGTCGAACACCTGTCGCGGAAAACAGGCATGTGCAAAATGTGGTGATCATGAGCACCCTATCGAGAGCTGTACTTCAACGCCAACAGAGTGCCCTAACTGTCACGGGCTGCACGCAGCATACTCGCGGACATGTGAAATTTTCAAAAAGGAAAAGGAAATCGTCCAGATAAAAGTAATGGAAAACATCACATTCTCTGAAGCCCGAAAGAAGGTGTCGCTCTTCTCCGGAAGAAGGAAAAACGGCCCCCCGCCGTTTTTCCTTCTTCCGGAGAAGAGGCGTTGACGCCTCTTCTCCGGCGCTGACGCCGGCCCCCCGGCGTCAGCGCCGGGGGGCCGGGCGGCGTCCAGTAATGGTGAGCACGCAGTACAGCTTTGCTGATGCGTGCACATCTCTGCCCTCCGCCAAGCAGCCGCAGGCTGCACTAACGTTCGAAGTTTTGCAGGTCCACCTCCATCAGACCTCGGAGACAAAACAGACAATCCAAACCCCGCAGGTCAACCTCCGTGAGACCTCGGGGATGACGCAGACAACTGAGAGGGCACCTGTCCCTCTTGAGAAACCTCCGTCAGCCTCCAAGTGTTCACAGGGGGCAATGGATGTGACACCGGCGTCCTCAGCGTCTCCGATGCTCACGGAATCCATCCTATTGAAGCGGAGCCCAACAAGACGCCTCAGGGGGAAGAAACACCCTCCAGTCCAGGCGCCTGACAAACGCGGCGAAGTCTGAATAACCCTCCTACCTTTCTTCCTTCTCAAAAATGGCTGCCGAGAGTATCATCTACTGGAACTGCCGAGGTCTACTGATGAACCTGGATGACATTTCTGAAATACTTGCGCAACAACAACCTAACATACTTTGCCTGCAGGAGACACACTTAAACACAGCACACACTAACTTTCTAAGAAGATATGCGGTATACCGAAAGGACAGGCATGGCACTGCCCATTCATCCGGCGGTGTCGCTATCGTGGTGCAGAAAGCACTACCGTCCCAAAACCTCACTCTGGCCACCGACTTAGAGGCAGTGGCAATACGAACCCTTATCTTTGGACGAATGACAACTGTGTGCTCATTATATATCCCTCCAGACTACCACCTGTCTACTAAAGAGTTTTAAACTCTAGTCGACCAGCTCCCGCATCCATTCCTCTTGGTTGAAGATTTTAATGCGCACAACCCCCTATGGAGATGCAGAAGAACAAATTCTCGAGGCTCCTTAATCGAAAACTTCCTCTTGTACTCCGGCTCCTGTATACTTAACAAAAAAGAACCAACGTACTTTAATGCAGCATGCAACTCATACACAGCCATAGATCTTGCTATCGGATCCCCTTCACTCATGGCAACCACAGATTGGTATGTTATTCATAACCTCTATGGAAGTGATTATTTTCCTGTCTGCCTAAAACACACAGGAAGTACAAGTAAGACGACTACAAATGTATTCAGGTTTAGAGAACAGGATGCTGACTGGACAAAGTTCTGAGAACTTGCAGAACTGTCGCGTTCTTCTATTGAAGACCTAGATATTGATGACTGTGAAGCATTGGTCGTACTTCATATCGTACAGGCCGCAGAGCGATCGATCCCACAGACATCTGACAAGACGCGAAACAAACAACGGCCCTGGTGGAATGCGGAGTGCAAAAAAAGCTCGAGAGAGCCAAAACAAAGCTTGGTCGAAATTTCGCAGGTACCCGACAGCTGACAACCTGATAAATTTCAAGCGTGCAAAAGCGAATGGTAGGCGTATCCGACGAAAATCAAAGAGGCAGAGCTGGCAGTCCTTTCTCTCGTCAGTTAACTCCTAGGCTGATACGCATAGGGCGTACAACAGAGTAAGAGCACTTCAAGGGCACAACACTCATCCGGTCCCTCTTTTCAGTACTGCTGGTGATACGCTGGAACACCAGGCAGATGCCATAGGCCAACACTTTGAGTATATCTTCAGCTCAGCACATTATACAGAGTCCTTTTAACGACACAAGCTTGCTGAGGAACGTAAGCCTATCCGCGATAGAAGGCCATCTACTGGAGGCTACAATACTCTGTTTACCATCGACGAATTGAAGGCAGTGCTGGCAACATGTGGCAACTCAGCTGCAGGCCAAGACAAGATTACATATGGCATGCTGAAACACTTACATGAACACATGCTTGATGTCATTCTCTTACTGTTCAACAGTGTATGGTCCTCCGGGCGTCTACCCAAGGCCTGGAAAGAGGCAGTTATACTACCCATCCTCAAACAAGGAAAGAAGCCACACTTGTCACTAGTTATAGGCCTATCGCCCTGACTAGCTGCTTGTGCAAGGTATTTGAAAAAAATGGTAAGCCACCGCCTCATGTATTACCTTGAATATAATGGCCTCCTTGATCGCCGTCAAGCTGGATTCAGATCAGGCCGGTCGACAGCTGACCAACTCTTAGCATTCGAATCCTACGTCAGGGATGCATTCATTCACAAACAACACCGCCTTTCTGTATTCTTCGACTTGGAGAAGGCTTATGACATGACGTGGCGTTATGGCATTCTCCGTGACTTGCAATCCCTTGGAGTGTGAGGGAACATGCTGAATACAATTCAAAGCTACCTCTCTGAACGTACATTCGTGGTTCGTGTTGGAAATGTCGTTTCAAGGCGGTTTACTCAGGAAAATGGTGTCCCCCAAGGTGGCGTACTTAGTTGCACACTGTTCATCGAAAAAAATGAACTCCATAAACACTAAACTGCCTAAAACAATTTCCTACTCTGTATATATGGATGACATTCAGATCAGCTTCAAATCGTACAACCTAGCCATCTGCGAACGTCAGATTCAATTGGCAGTAAATAAGCTCTCAAGCTGGGCAGACAAAAATGGTTTTAAGTTTAACTGTGACAAGACTGTCTGCCTACTTTTTTCAAAACTACGTGGTATAAGGCCGCCCCCCAAAATTTCAATGAATGGACACACCGTTGCTACTAAGAAGGATGATAATTTTTTAGGCGTTGTGATGGATGAAAAGCTCAGCTTTGTCCCACACATCAAGCAGCTGCGAATGAAATGCTTGAAAGCCTTGAACTTGCTCAAGATTCTCTCGCATCAGTCATGGGGTACAGATCGTGATTGTCTATTAAACCTTCTCAGTAGTGTAGTGCTCTCACGTATTGATTATGGCTCGGTTGTTTACGAATCAGCATCGAGATCCGCACTTAAGATGCTCGACCCAGTGCATCACCATGGGCTTCGTCTGGCTAGTGGCGCTTTCCGAACCATCCCAATAGCCAGCCTGTATGTTGAGACAGATCGGTGGTCATTAGAACGACGACAGCAGTTCACAAGCATCAAGTATGCAACCAAGGTGCTCTCTCATGTCGACCACCCATCTCGCGAGCTATTGCAGGATACATCAAACGACCACCTGTTCCTGAGGCGACCATCAGCCACGCCAACGTATCCCATCAGAGTGGCCTCACACATTGAAAATCTTCATATACCCGTCTCCAATCTTCAACTAAGTTCCCACAAGGACACTGTGGCACCATGGGAAATGC